CCAAGCCAGCAAGGGCGTGGAAGGGTTGCGAGCATCATTGGTCATCGGCCCTTGAGAATGAAGAGCGCCCGCTGCACTTCTTCCACATGTGCGGATCCTAGCGTGTTTTGAGGCTAGAAGCGCTCGCAGTGAGCGGTTTTCTTCTACCAGGTCACGTGGCTGCGCTTGTCTAGGCCTCTTGCCAAGCCAGCAAGGGCGTGGAAGAGTTGCGAGCATCATTGGTCATCGGCCTTTGAGAATGAAGAGCGCCCGCTGCACTTCCTCCACATGTGCGGATCCTAGAGCGTTTTGAGGCTAGAAGCGCTCGTTCTGAGCGTTTTTCTTCTACCAGGTCACATGGATGCACTTGTCTAGGCCTCTTGCCAAGCCAGCAAGGGCGTGGAAGGTTTGCGAGCATCATTGGTAATCGGCCCTTGAGAATGAAGAACGCCCGCTGCACTTCCTGCACATGTGCGGATCCTAGCGCGTTTTGAGGCTAGAAGCGCTCGCAGTGAGCGTTTTTCTTCTACCAGGTCACGTGGCTACGCTTGTCTAGGCCTCTTGCCAAGCCAGCAAGGGCGTGGAAGGGTTGCGAGCATCATTGGTCATCGGCCCTTGAGAATGAAGAGCGCCCGCTGCACTTCCTCCACATGTGCGGATCCTAGAGCGTTTTGAGGCTAGAAGCGCTCGTTCTGAGCGTTTTTCTTCTACAAGGTCACGTGGCTGCGCTTGTCTAGGCCTCTTGCCAAGCCAGCAAGGGCGTGGAACGGTTGCGAGCATCATTGGTCATCGGCCCTTGAGAAAGAAGAGCGCCCGCTGCACTTCCTCCACATGTGCGGCTCGTAGCGCGTTTTGAGGCTAGAAGCGCTCGCAGTGAGCGTTTTTCTTCTACCAGGTCACGTGGCTGCGCTTGTCTAGGCCTCTTGCCAAGCCAGCAAGGGCGTGGAAGAGTTGCGAGCATCATTGGTCATCGGATCTTGAGAATGAAGAGCGCCCGCTGCACTTCCTCCACATGTGCGGATCCTAGAGCGTTTTGAGGCTAGAAGCGCTCGTTCTGAGCGTTTTTCTTCTACAAGGTCACGTGGCTGCGCTTGTATAGGCCTCTTGCCAAGCCAGCAAGGGCGTGGAAGGGTTGCGAGCATCATTGGTCGTCGGCCCTTGAGAAAGAAGAGCGCCCGCTGCACTTCCTCCACATGTGCGGCTCGTAGCGCGTTTTGAGGCTAGAAGCGCTCGCATTGAGCGTTTTTCTTCTACCAGGTCACGTGGCTGCGCTTCTCTAGGCCTCTTGCCAAGCCAGCAAGGGCGTGGAAGAGTTGCGAGCATCATTGGTCATCGACCCTTGAGAATGAAGAGCGCCCGCTGCACTTCCTCCACATGTGCGGATTCTAGCGCGTTTTGAGGCTAGAAGCGCTCGTTCTGAGCGTTTTTCTTCTACCAGGTCACGTGGATGCGCTTGTCTAGGCCTCTTGCCAAGCCAGCAAGGGCGTGGAAGGGTTGCGAGCATCATTGGTCATCGGCCCTTGAAAATGAAGAACGTCCGCTGCACTTCTTGCACATGTGCGGATCCTAGCGCGTTTCGAGGCTAGAAGCGCTCGCAGTGAGCGTTTTTCTTCTACCAGGTCACGTGGCTGCGCTTGTCTAGGCCTATTGCCAAGCCAGCAAGGGCGTGGAAGGGTTGCAAGCATCATTGGTCATCGGCCCTTGAGAATGAAGAGCGCCCGCTGCACTTCCTCCACATGTGCGGATCCTAGCACGTTTTGAGGCTAGAAGCGCTCGCAGTGAGCGATTTTCTTCTACCAGGTCACGTGGCTGCGCTTATCTAGGCCTCTTGCCAAGCCCGCAAGGGCGTGGAAGGGTTGCGAGCATCATTGGTCATCGGCCCTTGAGAATGAAGAGCGCCCACTGCACAGCTTCCACATGTGCGGATCCTAACGGGTTTTGAGGCTAGAAGCGCTCGCAGTGAGCGCTTCTCCTCTACCAGATCACGTTACTGCACTTGTCTAGGCTTCTTGCCAGGCGAGCAAGGGCGTGGAAGAGTTGCGAGCATCATTGGTCATCGGCCCTTGAGAATGAAGAGCGCCCGCTGCACTTTCTGCACATGTGCGGATCCTAGTGCGTTTTGAGGCTAGAAGCGCTCGTTCCGAGCGTTTTTCTTCCACCGAGTCACGTGGCTGCGCTTGTCTGGGCCTATTGCCAAGCCAGCAAGGGCGTGGAAGGGTTGCGAGCATCATTGGTCATCGGCCCTTGAGAATGAAGAGCGCCCGCTGCACTTCCTGCACATGTGCGGATCCTAGCGCGTTTTGAGGCTAGAAGCGCTCGTTCCGAGCGTTTTTCTTCCACCGAGTCACGTGGCTGCGCTTGTCTGGTCCTATTGCCAAGCCAGCAAGGGCGTGGAAGGGTTGCGAGCATCATTGGTCATTGGCCCTTGAGAATGAAGAGCGCCTGCTGCACTTCCTGCACATGTGCGGATCCTAGCGCATTTTGAGGCTAGAAGCGCTCGTAGTGAGCGTTTTTCTTCCACCAAGTCACGTGGCTGTGCTTGTCTAGGCCTCTTGCCAAGCCAGCAAGGGCGTGGAAGGGTTGCGAGCATCATTGGTCATCGGCCCTTGAGAATGAAGAGCGCCCGCTGCACTTCCTCCACATGTGCAAATCCTAGCGCGTTTTGAGGCTAGAAGCGCTCGCAGTGAGCGTTTTTCTTCTACCAGGTCACGTGGCTGCGCTTGTCTAGGCCTCTTGTCAAGCCAGCAAGGGCGTGGAAGGGTTGCGAGCATCATTGGTCATCGGCCCTTGAGAATGAAGAGCGCCCGCTGCACTTCCTCCACATGTGCGGATCCTAGAGCGTTTTGAGGCTAGAAGCGCTCGTTTTGAGCGTTTTTCTTCTACCAGGTTACGTGGCTGCGCTTGTCTAGGCCTCTTGCCAAGCCAGCAAGGGCGTGGAAGGCTTGCGAGCATCATTGGTCATTGGCCCTTGAGAATGAAGAGCGCCCGCTGCACTTCCTCCACATGTGCGGATCCTAGCGCGTTTTGAGGCTAGAAGCGCTCGTTCTTAGCGTTATTGTTCTACCAGGTCACGTGGCTGCGCTTGTCTAGGCCTCTTGCCAAGCCAGCAAGGGCGTGGAAGGGTTGCGAGCATCATTGGTCATCGGCCCTTGAGAAAGAAGAGCGCCCGCTGCACTTCCTGCACATGTGCGGATCCTAGCGCGTTTTGAGGCTAGAAGCGCTCGCAGTGAGCGTTTTTCTTCTACCAGGTCACGTGGCTACGCTTGTCTAGGCCTCTTGCCAAGCCAGCAAGGGCGTGGAAGGGTTGCGAGCATCATTGGTCATCGGCCCTTGAGAATGAAGAACGTCCGCTGCACTTCCTCCACATGTGCGGATCCTAGCGCGTTTTGAGGCTAGAAGCGCTCGCAGTGAGCGTTTTTCTTCTACCAGGTCACGTGGCTGCGCTTGTCTAGGCCTCTTGCCAAGCCAGCAAGGCGTGGAATAGTTGCGAGCATCATTGGTCATCGGCCCTTGAGAATGAAGAGCGCCCGCTGCACTTCCTCCACATGTGCGGATTCTAGCGCGTTTTGAGGCTAGAAGCGCTCGTTCTGAGCGTTTTTCTTCTACCAGGTCACATGGATGCGCTTGTCTAGGCCTCTTGCCAAGCCAGCAAGGGCGTGGAAGGGTTGCGAGCATCATTGGTAATCGGCCCTTGAGAATGAAGAACGCCCGCTGCACTTCCTGCACATGTGCGGATCCTAGCGCGTTTTGAGGCTAGAAGCGCTCGCAGTGAGCGTTTTTCTTCTACCAGGTCACGTGGCTACGCTTGTCTAGGCCTCTTGCCAAGCCAGCAAGGGCGTGGAAGGGTTGCGAGCATCATTGGTCATCGGCCCTTGAGAATGAAGAACGTCCGCTGCACTTCCTCCACATGTGCGGATCCTAGCGCGTTTTGAGGCTAGAAGCGCTCGCAGTGAGCGTTTTTCTTCTACCAGGTCACGTGGCTGCGCTTGTCTAGGCCTCTTGCCAAGCCAGCAAGGGCGTGGAAGAGTTGCGAGCATCATTGGTCATCGGCCCTTGAGAATGAAGAGCGCCCGCTGCACTTCCTCCACATGTGCGGATCCTAGAGCGTTTTGAGGCTAGAAGCGCTCGTTCTGAGCGTTTTTCTTCTACAAGGTCACGTGGCTGCGCTTGTCTAGGCCTCTTGCCAAGCCAGCAAGGGCGTGGAAGGGTTGCGAGCATCATTGGTCGTCGGCCCTTGAGAAAGAAGAGCGCCCGCTGCACTTCCTCCACATGTGCGGCTCGTAGCGCGTTTTGAGGCTAGAAGCGCTCGCAGTGAGCGTTTTTCTTCTACCAGGTCACGTGGCTGCGCTTGTCTAGGCCTCTTGCCAAGCCAGCAAGGGCGTGGAAGAGTTGCGAGCATCATTGGTCATCGGCCCTTGAGAATGAAGAGCGCCCGCTGCACTTCCTCCACATGTGCGGATTCTAGCGCGTTTTGAGGCTAGAAGCGCTCGTTCTGAGCGTTTTTCTTCTACCAGGTCACATGGATGCGCTTGTCTAGGCCTCTTGCCAAGCCAGCAAGGGCGTGGAAGGGTTGCGAGCATCATTGGTCATCAGCCCTTGAGAATGAAGAGCGTCCGCTGCACTTCTTGCACATGTGCGGATCCTAGCGCGTTTTGAGGCTAGAAGCGCTCGCAGTGAGCGTTTTTCTTCTACCAGGTCACGTGACTGCGCTTGTCTAGGCCTATTGCCAAGCCAGCAAGGGCGTGGAAGGGTTGCGAGCATCATTGGTCATCGGCCGTGACCAGGTGTCGATCGAAGCTCCCGTCCAGTCCTACTCCCTGGGCGTGCTTAGCGCCGCTGCTAACCATTGCCAAAGTGTGAGACGCCAGTCTGAACTGGTGCTGGCCGAACTGCTGCGCAAGGTCAGGGCGAGCAACCTGGACAACAAGGACGAGCTGGACTCGCTGATTGCAACCATGTCCAATGTGAACGGTGCACTGTCGTCACTATATACAGGCACACGTGGACTCATGGCATCAGTCATGGGAGCCCGTAGTGCCATCGAGTCCATGCATGGGCCTGTTGGTCCCATCCTAGGCCCTCCGCTGAGTGCACAGGAACTGGAATCAAGCACGCCTATCATGGCTGCACCGACCCCAGTCCCAGGGGCTCACATCACTCCGGTCGTGCGCACTGGATCACCGCCTATCAAGCGCACCCAGTCCAACAGCTCACTTGCTGCTGCCGAGGACTCAGCTGCGGTTGCCTTCGACCTTGGCACACCTGACGAGGGCTCCCCTGACTTCGTTGCACCTGACCTCGACCCCATTGTCAAGGCGATGAGGACACTGGCAAGCAGCACATCCACGGCACCTGCGGCTGGTAGCCGTGAGGCGGGACTGGAGGCTGGCACTGACAAGGTGACTGCCACAACTGGGACTGAGGAGGCAAGTGTTCCCAGCACTCCTTTGACCCCACCTGACCTCAAGATGAAGGGACAAGTTGAGCAGAGTGACGCCGAGACCGTTGCAAGCAGTGCTGCGACTGCGGGCGATGTGCCAGATGCTGGTGATATCCTGTACGAGATTCTCACGACTCTTGCCGAGGGATACGATCCTCAGACTGCACCAGGCGCAAGGAGGCTGTTACAATCAACGCTGGAACTCCCTTGAGAATGAAGAGCGCCCGCTGCACTTCCTCCACATGTGCAGATCCTAGCGCGTTTTGAGGCTAGAAGCGCTCGCAGTAAGCGTTTTTCTTCTACCAGGTCAAGTGGCTGCGCTCGTTTAGGCCTCTTGCCAAGCCAGCAAGGGCGTGGAAGAGTTGCGAGCATCATTGGTCATCGACCCTTGAGAATGAAGAGCGCCCGCTGCACTTCCTCCACATGTGCGGATCCTAGCACGTTTTGAGGCTAGAAGCGCTCGCAGTGAGCGTTTTTCTTCCACCAAGTCACGTGGCTGCGCTTGTCTAGGCCTCTTGCCAAGCCAGCAAGGGCGTGGAAGGGTTGCGAGCATCATTGGTCATCGTCCCTTGAGAATGAAGAGCGCCCGCTGCACTTCCTCCACATGTGCGGATCCTAGCGCGTTTTGAGGCTAGAAGCGCTCGCAGTGAGCGTTTTTCTTCCACCAAGTCACGTGGCTGCGCTTGTCTAGGCCTCTTGCCAAGCCAGCAAGGGCGTGGAAGGGTTGCGAGCATCATTGGTCATCGGCCCTTGAGAATGAAGAGCGCCCGCTGCACTTCCTCCACATGTGCGGATCCTAGCGCGTTTCGAGGCTAGAAGCGCTCGCAGTGAGCGTTTTTCTTCTACCAGGTCACGTGGCTGCGCTTGTCTAGGCCTGTTGCCAAGCCAGCAAGGGCGTGGAAGGGTTGCGAGCATCATTGGTCATCGGCCCTTGAGAATGAAGAGCGCCCGCTGCACTTCCTGCACATGTGCGGATCCTAGCGCATTTTGAGGCTAGAAGCGCTCGTAGTGAGCGTTTTTCTTCCACCAAGTCACGTGGCTGCGCTTGTCTAGGCCTGTTGCCAAGCCAGCAAGGGCGTGGAAGGGTTGCGAGCATCATTGGTCATCGGCCCTTGAGAATGAAGAGCGCCTGCTGCACTTCCTGCACATGTGCGGATCCTAGCGCGTTTTGAGGCTAGAAGCGCTCGTAGTGAGCGTTTTTCTTCTACCAGGTCACGTGGCTACGCTTGTCTAGGCCTCTTGCCAAGCCAGCAAGGGCGTGGAAGGGTTGCGAGCATCATTGGTCATCGGCCCTTGAGAATGAAGAACGTCCGCTGCACTTCTTGCACATGTGCGGATCCTAGCGCGTTTTGAGGCTAGAAGCGCTCGCAGTGAGCGTTTTTCTTCTACCAGGTCACGTGGCTACGCTTGTCTAGGCCTCTTGCCAAGCCAGTAAGGGCGTGGAAGGGTTGCGAGCATCGTTGGTCATCGGCCCTTGAGAATGAAGAACGCCCGCTGCACTTCCTCCGCATGTGCGGATCCTAGCGCGTTTTGAGGCTAGAAGCGCTCGCAGTGAGCGTTTTTCTTCTACCAGGTCACGTGGCTGCGCTTGTCTAGGCCTATTGCCAAGCCAGTAAGGGCGTGGAAGGGTTGCGAGCATCGTTGGTCATCGGCCCTTGAGAATGAAGAGCGCCCGCTGCACTTCCTCCGCATGTGCGGATCCTAGCGCGTTTTGAGGCTAGAAGCGCTCGCAGTGAGCGTTTTTCTTCTACCAGGTCACGTGGCTGCGCTTGTCTAGGCCTCTTGCCAAGCTAGCAAGGGCGTGGAAGAGTTGCGAGCATCATTGGTCATCGGCCCTTGAGAATGAAGAGCGCCCGCTGCACTTCCTCCACATGTGCGGATCCTAGCGCATTTTGAGGCTAGAAGCGCTCGCAGTGAGCGTTTTTCTTCCACCAAGTCATGTGGCTGCGCTTGTCTAGGCCTTTTGCCAAGCCAGCAAGGGCGTAGAAGGGTTGCGAGCATCATTGGTCATCGGCCCTTGAGAATGAAGAGCGCCCGCTGCACTTCCTCCACATGTGCGGATCCTAGAGCGTTTTGAGGCTAGAAGCGCTCGTTCTGAGCGTTTTTCTTCTACCAGGTCACGTGGCTGCGCTTGTCTAGGCCTCTTGCCAAGCCAGCAAGGGCGTGGAAGGGTTGCGAGCATCATTGGTCATTGGCCCTTGAGAATGAAGAGCGCCCGCTGCACTTCCTCCACATGTGCGGATCCTAGCGCGTTTTGAGGCTAGAAGCGCTCGTTCTGAGCGTTTTTGTTCTACCAGGTCACGTGGCTGCGCTTGTCTAGGCCTCTTGCCAAGCCAGCAAGGGCGTGGAAGGGTTGCGAGCATCATTGGTCATCAGCCCTTGAGAATGAAGAACGCCCGCTGCACTTCCTGCACATGTGCGGATCCTTGCGCGTTTTGAGGCTAGAAGCGCTCGCAGTGAGCATTTTTCTTCTACCAGGTCACGTGGCTACGCTTGTCTAGGCCTCTTGCCAAGCCAGCAAGGGTGTGGAAGGGTTGCGAGCATCATTGGTCATCGGCCCTTGAGAATGAAGAGCGCCCGCTGCATTTCCTCCACATGTGCAGATCCTAGCGCGTTTTGAGGCTAAAAGCGCTCGCAGTGAGCGTTTTTCTTCTACCAGGTCACGTGGCTGCGCTTGTATAGGCCTCTTGCCAAGCCAGCAAAGGCGTGGAAGGGTTGCGAGCATCATTGGTCATCGGCCCTTGAGAATGAAGAGCGCCCGCTGCACTTCCTCCACATGTGCGGATTCTAGCGCGTTTTGAGGCTAGAAGCGCTCGTTCTGAGCGTTTTTCTTCTACCAGGTCACATGGATGCGCTTGTCTAGGCCTCTTGCCAAGCCAGCAAGGGCGTGGAAGGGTTGCGAGCATCATTGGTAATCGGCCCTTGAGAATGAAGAACGCCCGCTGCACTTCCTGCACATGTGCGGATCCTAGCGCGTTTTGAGGCTAGAAGCGCTCGCAGTGAGCATTTTTCTTCTACCAGGTCACGTGGCTACGCTTGTCTAGGCCTCTTGCCAAGCCAGCAAGGGTGTGGAAGGGTTGCGAGCATCATTGGTCATCGGAACTGGAGAATGAAGAGCGCCCGCTGCACTTCCTCCACATGTGCGGATCCTAGAGCGTTTTGAGGCTAGAAGCGCTCGTTCTGAGCGTTTTTCTTCTACCAGGTCACGTGGCTGCGCTTGCCTAGGCCTCTTGCCAAGCCAGCAAGGGCGTGGAAGGGTTGCGAGCATCATTGGTCATCGGCCTTGAGAGTGAAGAGCGCCCGCTGCACTTCCTCCACATGTGCGGATCCTAGAGCGTTTTGAGGCTAGAAGCGCTCGTTCTGAGCGTTTTTCTTCTACAAGGTCACGTGGCTGCGCTTGTCTAGGCTTCTTGCCAAGCCAGCAAGGGCGTGGAAGGGTTACGAGCATCATTGGTCGTCGGCCTTGAGAGTGAAGAGCGCCCGTTGCACTTCCTCCACATGTGCGGATTCTAGCGCGTTTTGAGGCTAGAAGCGCTCGTTCTGAGCGTTTTTCTTCTACAAGGTCACGTGGATGCGCTTGTCTAGGCCTCTTGCCAAGCCAGCAAGGGCGTGGAAGGGTTGCGAGCATCATTGGTAATCTGCGCTTGAGAATGAAGAACGCCCGCTGCACTTCCTGCACATGTGCGGATCCTAGCGCGTTTTGAGGCTAGAAGCGCTCGCAGTGAGCATTTTTCTTCTACCAGGTCACGTGGCTACGCTTGTCTAGGCCTCTTGCCAAGCCAGCAAGGGTGTGGAAGGGTTGCGAGCATCATTGGTCATCGGCCCTTGAGAATGAAGAGCGCCCGCTGCATTTCCTCCACATGTGCAGATCCTAGCGCGTTTTGAGGCTAAAAGCGCTCGCAGTGAGCGTTTTTCTTCTACCAGGTCACGTGGCTGCGCTTGTATAGGCCTCTTGCCAAGCCAGCAAGGGCGTGGAAGGGTTGCGAGCATCATTGGTCATCGGCCCTTGAGAATGAAGAGCGCCCGCTGCACTTCCTCCACAAGTGCGGATCCTAGCGCGTTTTGAGGCTTGAAACGCTCGTTCATAGCGTTTTTCTTCGACCAGATCACGTGGCTGCGCTTGCCTAGGCCTCTTGCCAAACCAGCAAGGGCGTGGAAGGGTTGCGAGCATCATTGGTCGTCGGCCCTTGAGAATGAAGAGCGCCCGCTGCACTTCCTCCACATGTGCGGATTCTAGCGCGTTTTGAGGCTAGAAGCGCTCGTAGTGAGCGTTTTTCTTCCACCAAGTCGCATGGCTGCGCTTGTCTAGGCCTCTTGCCAAGCCAGCAAGGGCGTGGAAGGGTTGCGAGCATCATTGGTAATCGGCCCTTGAGAATGAAGAGCGCCCGCTCCACTTCCTGCACATGTGCGGATCCTAGCGCATTTTGAGGCTAGAAGCGCTCGCAGTGAGCATTTTTCTTCTACCAGGTCACGTGGCTACGCTTGTCTAGGCCTCTTGCCAAGCCAGCAAGGGTGTGGAAGGGTTGCGAGCATCATTGGTCATCGGCCCTTGAGAATGAAGAGCGCCCGCTGCATTTCCTCCACATGTGCAGATCCTAGCACGTTTTGAGGCAAAAAACGCTCGCAGTGAGCGTTTTTCTTCTACCTGGTCACGTGGCTGCGCTTGTATAGGCCTCTTGCCAAGCCAGCAAGGGCGTGGAAGGGTTGCGAGCATCATTGGTCATCGGCCCTTGAGAATGAAGAGCGCCCGCTGCACTTCCTCCACATGTGCGGATCCTAGAGTGTTTTGAGGCTAGAAGCGCTCGTTCTGAGCGTTTTTCTTCTACCAGATCACGTGGCTGCGCTTGCCTAGGCCTCTTGCCAAGCCAGCAAGGGCGTGGAACGGTTGCGAGCATCATTGGTCGTCGGCCCTTGAGAATGAAGAGCGCCCGCTGCATTTCCTCCACATGTGCGGATTCTAGCGCGTTTTGAGGCTAGAAGCGTTCGTTCTGAGCGTTTTTCTTCTACCAGGTCACGCGGCTGCGCTTGCCTAGGCCTCTTGCCAAGCCAGCAAGGGCGTGGAAGGGTTGTGAGCATCATTGGTCGTCGGCCCTTGAGAATGAAGAGCGCCCGCTGCACTTCCTCCACATGTGCGGATTCTAGCGCGTTTTGAGGCTAGAAGCGCTCGTTCTGAGCGTTTTTCTTCTACTAGGTCACGTGGCTGCGCTTGTC